CAACGTTATAACTCGCAATTCTGATTTTGAGAAAAAGTTACTTTTTTTTTTTTTTTAACCTGTGGCAGGATCAATTCCCCTATGGAGAAAATTACTAGGATGTTGTTCAACTCCTACCTCCCTGGGACAGTAGCAGCCAGACTAGGTGGTTGTGGTTCCATACGAGGGCTTCCATCTCGTCGTGGGCTTATATTCATACTGGCAGTTAGCTGGGGCATTTTCCGTGTATTCTCAAGATTGGGGGCACTGCTCGCTGGCTCTTTCCTGCCCTCTAGTGGTTGGCAGGGACCTGGAGGTGTGGCGCCACCTAGTGGCGGGCCAGTGCTGAAGCGTACAGCCAGACTGTCTCCAAAAAAGGAGTAGAGTTCACAGTACATGGCAGGAAGAGATACAGGAGTCCACTCTTCCCATGGGCAGCCAGCTCCACCTGCTTGGAGATGGCTTGCAATGCCAAGAGGGGGTTCTGAAAGAGGTTCGGGAGGTGGGCTGAGGCCAGGCGAGTTTTCTCTGAAGCCGACAGCCCCTGTGGTAGTGCCTGGTAGACCAGCACCGCTTCCTTCTGCTGCCAAGGTCAGACTGAGAGCCTTCATCTTCAGCAAACGCTCTACCGCCACCTTCAGGGAGGAAAGTAAAGTGGTCACTTGACTTTAGAGGTTTAGATAAGAGATATTTAGGCTGGGCTAATGAAGCGTTGGATGGAAGGTAGTGTGAATAATGAAAATGAAATCTCAATATAGCTTTTAAACACTGCAATTTAATTAAATAAATATATGCACATCATGTTTCAAAATGAAGAGCGGCACTGTGTTCTTTTACACGTGAGCAGCTCATGAATCTGGTGTTTTTTAGTTTTCCAGAGTGGGTCTCTTATAACTTGCAACTGGGGACACAAAATACTCAAACCATCTTTCCAAACTTGCGATGAGGAGCTCTTATAAACCATTTGTTGTTAACAAAAGAGCAGCTTTAAGGACTCTCTGTGGTTTCCAGCAAAATAAAAGATGTGTACAAACATAGAACTTGAAATAAATCAATACATTTATATCAGCATCCTGGAAAGAAACATATGCACCACAGTCATTGTCTAAAGTACTGTACTTACCAAAATGGCTCCATAGACTTTGTGGCCGTCTGCTTTCACCTGAGCGTTGGACACAGAGTAATCATCTAACACAGCTTGTAGATTCGCCCAATAGGCAGGGAGGTGAGGATACAGCACACGTTCAACAGCCTGTGTCAAAACACATACACACAAACAGTGTGATAATTAGTAGTAAAAAGCACATTTGTGTTTGTGGGTGTTGTGCTGTCTGTGTTTACTTTCCAGCCGAGAGCATGCAGACCCACTACAGCTCCATAGTGGGAACACAGAGGTCTAACCGGATCAGAGAGAACCTTCTGCAGAGACAGAAGGATCTGATGGTACAGCCCACTCACAAGATCACCATGTGTCCTACAAGTCAACAACAACAACAACAACAACAAAACAATCAGTCAGACTAGTGTTTGAACTGGATCAATTGATTAAAGTTTCAGCTGACCAGAACACTTACTATAAAAGTTCATAATTTAACAAGTATTACTTTACTGTAGGGTGCTAAAGAAATACCAGAAGATGTGGCTGAGCAGAAGGGCTGCATAGTCTCTCAGGGTCCAGTGGTCATTGAGGGGGTTGATGGAAGCAGCCAGAGGCTCCAGGATGCAGTACATGACACTGGACACAAGACTGCGCACATATGAGCCCAGGTACAGGTACGGGTTCTGCACCAAACTCTTCACCATGTGTAGGAGTCTGTTTAACTGGTCCAGATCATGACTTACTGACTTTACCTAAGAAAGACAATCATACATTATGAATCAAGGTGCACATTTTTACAGTAATTACAAAAAAGGTCATTATTATATAAGGAAATATTTGATTTCGTATGCCATGGACAAACTTACCCCACTGATGACGTAAACAAAGTAAGGCAGGAGGGCAGCGATCTTTGAATTGGACTGGAGGTCTAGCAAAGCCACCTGATGGAAAAAGAAAAACATTATTATACTAGCAAGAGAAAACACTAGACACATTAATAAAATAAATACACTACAGTTAAAAAGTTTTGGGATGGTATGATTTTTTAAAAAGGCTTGTAATGTTTTAAATGCCATCTCTTATGCTCATCAGGGCTGCTTTTTTTAAATTAAAAATACAGTAAAAACAGTAATATTGTGAAATATTATTACAATTTATAATTTACAAAGTATAATATTTTTATTTTAATATATTTATCTCTGTGATGGCAAAGCTGATTTTCAACAGCCGTTACTCCAGTCTTCAGTGTCCCAAGATCTTTCAGAAATAATTCTGACAAAAATATGCTGATTTGCTGCTCAAGAAACATTTCTTATTAATATCAATGTTGAAAACAGTTGAGCTCCTTAATATTTTTGTGGAAACCGTGCTACATTTTTTCAAGATGCTCTGATGAATAGAAGGTTCAAAAGTGTAGACAATGTATGCTGGGATGTTTATGTTTCTTTTTGTTGCAATTATTATTATTAGTTTTTTCCTGTTAATAGAAATGCCTATAAATAAAGTATTCAAAAAAAAATGTAAGTACCTTCATGAGATGTGGGTCCTCTCCTAAAATGGCTCGTGTTATTTGTTGGTAATACTTCAGCAGATCCTCTGATAGAGACTGAACAGCAGTGGGCACTAATAAGACATCACAAATAAACCAACACAGAATAGAGCTGGGTGAACTACTGAAAACTTACAGTAAGTTATTTTGTTTATTTTATCAGATAAGTCAATTAAAATAAACAGAAATTAAGATATTTGAGGTTTACCTGTGCCTTGAGGTTCCAGATTGCCTTTTCCATCAAGATATGACACATGCACTGCCAATGACACAAAGCAGATATGTCTTTGTTAAAAATGCATGATAGTAAACTTGAAAACATTACACTAATGATACCCGCCATACCTCGAACCATCGTCTCTGCACAGCCTTTGGGGATGTTAGTAGCAAGTGCCAACTCCACCAGATTTATCTCCCGATCCTCTACAAAGAAAAGCTCTCCTTCCTTTAATGGACGGAACGGTAGGGCATCTTGTGCACCGTAGCCGCAAATAGTCTAGAATACATGCAGCAGGTGTAATGCTGTTCTCCAGATGTTGAAGTGTAACAAACAACACCACAATGCAAATTAACATTAAAAACTCTTTCAAACAGAATGACGAATATATACCTCAGTATTGCTCCACCGTAGCGCTCTGTTCAAGTCTTCCACGCTCAGCTTCCTTCTCTTTGCATGTCTCATGAACTGTGAGCTGTTCTGTAGTGGAACAAAGAGATGAACAGACTTTATGGCAAAATGTTTGACACTTTACAAAGTCTTTTATTACAAATGCTTTAGGAGAATATAAACACATGCAGGCAAAATAACATCTACAAAACTTAAGCAGGAAACATTTTAAGGCAGTAGCACAAGTCAGCACAGCTTTAAAGCAATAAATAGGTGCGTGTGAGCATGCATCTCTTATGCAGTAGTATCCATCAGCACAACAAAGAACAAGACATCTACATGTACAAGAGCATGAAATGCATTTCAGATAACAGTTATAATATGAAATCTGGAATAACAGCACACATTACTATTGCTTTAAAGAAATAATAAGACAGGTGCATGTATGAGAGCATGCAATGCATGTACAATAATGCATGTAAAGTAAAGGCCTCTGACAGTCGTGAATATTTAAGTGACTTGAATGGCCTTGCTGAGACAGTAGAACCCATCAGAACAGCTTGCAGTGGACATTAAAACACAGCCATATACAGTAGCACGCAATGCATGTAATTATAATATATCTGATGAAATCATTAAGTCGTATGTGACCTGTGTTGCCTCTCTGAGGCGGTAGCACACATCCTCCGCCAGCAGAGCTGCCACCTCCTCGCTGAGCTCTACTCCGCTGCTCTCGGCCATTAGTTTGATGGATTCCCGGGGCACCTCCGCGAAGCGCCGTTCCTCCCTCTCGGTCATCTTTACGATAGTGAGATCACTAAATAAAGACGCTGTAATTAACATTAAAGATTTACAGCTAAAGCGACAAGGTTGCGCGGCGTCAGCCGCTTTTCAACTCTCCTCGCTAGGCTGACTTGGCACGCTCGTAATCAGAAATGGGGCTAAAACACATGCACCGTACCTTCCTATTGACGACGTATCAGTTCATGTATACAAGTTACATTTATTTTATTATACTTTACCAGCATTATATGCCTACATTAGCACAAGCAGCTAAGCTCTCCAAACGGTTTATACAACACACTGGTGGTGAACTCGTGGGAGGCGCCTGATTGGCTTGAACTCCGCGCATGCGCATGTATTCTGGGCTCAGAGATTTTGACTCATTTTAGAATCGGTTCACCAAGTGAGCTTTTATGGTTTCCATTATCAGTAATGAAAGACATTAAAGAAAAATGAAAAACTAAAGTTAACTAATTATTTTACGCCAACTTGTTTTTCCTTCAGTGTTACGCTATAAATCCAAAAGTACTTTGGCAGGCAGTGGAGAAAAACCCTAAATCCTCTGGTACTATTTTAGATTATATGTTTGTATTAATATTGATAGTTGTTTGTAGTGTAGAAGGGTCTTATACTCAAAGCAGCCTTAAACATACATCAAAAGTGAGATTC